GAGCTGATTTTTCTAAAACAAGAGACTCTAGATAGGCTGACTAGTCTCTGGAAGTTCTTGCACTGAGGAATGGCTAGGGGCACCGACAAAACAGTGGGCAATGACAGGGATGACAGAGTAAATGGGCTCCAGTGGGGGGAGGCCTGGCAGGGGGCCTATGGGAGGGTGCCATTTGGTGTGCGGGTATAAAGATGAATAAGATTAGGATGTTCTGTATGAAATACACACAAAAAAAATCAATAAAAGGTAAAATTTACATACAACATACAGATCTTAAGTATTTCGTTTGATGACTTTTCATAGTTAAGTACAGCTATGTAATTACCATCCAGAATAATACATCAGAGAAACATTTCGTTTCCATAGAATTAATTCCTTCATGTCCTTTTGTAGTCGGCTCCAACCCTCCATCTTGGGACAGCTACTTTGACTTCTTTCACTGTATGTTAGTTTTGCCTGTTTTGAGCGTCACATAAATCAAACCACATATTATATACTCTTTTGTATTTAAAGTTTAGGAATTTTGGGGTTTTGTTGTGCTTTTTTTTAACTTTGCATAATATTTTTGAAATACATTGATTGCATATATCAATAATTCATTCCTTCAAAGTAGTAATATTTTGTTATCCGAAAATGTAGTATGTTTATCTGATGTCTTGTTGATGGATGTTGGTAGCAGGGAGCTTGAGGCCTGGTCACACTGTGCTCAGCAGCAGGAAGTGAGGGCCTGGTCACACTGAGCTCAGCAGCAGGGAGATTTACCAAGAGGTGAAACTCAGCCAAGTTGACAGTGAAGATTCACTTTCACAAAGTAGATATGAATCTGGTTGGTAGGTGGTGGGTGGTGTCAAGATTTGAATCCCAAGAGAAAAGCTGAGGTGAGTTTTTATACAGATGACTGTTGTTTTTTTCTTTAAGCTTCAGAAAGACTTTAGAAGTCGAATGGAAACAGGTCGTGACTCTGGCACTCACAGAATCTAGTGCTTTTTCAGCTGAGAGAAATCAGAGGGGCAAGTGGTCAGAGAAGCCCATTTTCACAATTTCTGAAACTGAACAAAAGGAGTTTTACTCCACTCAGTTTGGTTATAATATGAGTGTTTTGAAGAGATTCTTGAATCTTCGGAAAATGGCCCTGTTGCTATTGATTGAGCCTGCTAAATGGAGCAGTGCCGAAAGTGTCCCCTACGTTCTTGACATGATTTTCAGTCAGCCTTCCCCGTGTGGTGCTGATTTTAGCAGTAAGCAGACAATACTAACGGCAGACTTCAGTCACAGCTTGGCCACTCAGTGACTTCTTACTCCATATCACTCTTGCTGTTTATTTCAACACTGTATGCAGCACTCTGCCAGTCCAGTCCCTGCTGTCTATCGATCTCTTGCATTCCTTTTCATATAACATCACATTGTAAGCTACTTTGTTTCATGTGAAGATAACTCCTATCTGCATAGTGCAGATCTAAATCAAGTGACTTTGATATAAAAACTGTCATGCAGCTGGGCGTGGTGGCACACACCTTTAATCCCAGCACTCGGGAGGCAGAGGCAGGCGGATCTCCGTGAGTTCAAGGCCAGCCTGGTCTACATAGTGAGTTCCAGGACACCTGGGGCTACAGGGAGACCCTGTCTCAAAAAGACTAAAAAAAACCTGTCGTGCTTAAAAACAAAACCATGGACAATAGGCTTTCCCTAGCAGTACACAATTTGCCTCTGTTTATATACTGAAATTACAGCGGTGTTCAGTAGTTGTTTGGAAAAGAAAATATGCTTCTAGAAGTTATAAGTAGGGATGAGAAGGAATGTGGTTTAAAAAAACAATAATGTTGGGAAAAGGAAAACAGCTCATCTTTTAAAAGCTATTCAGATGAAAAAACTCTCGGCATGAGCTTGATCTATATGTTTTTCATGGTTATTAGTAGTAATGAAGATACATTAACCATATTCTCTTGGTACTCCTGTAGCTGTTTGTTAGTACTTTTATCAACATACAAATTTTACAACTGGCAATATGGGAATTTGATGAGTATGTTTTTGTTTATATAAAAGGGTAACAACATTATAAATTTCTTCATATCTATGAATTACAAATCTTGATTTGCAAGACCAAAATTCAGCTCCACATCAGTGCATGATGGCGAGCGCTTCCTCGTGCTGCCACTCCCTGCAGGCTGCGGAGTGGGGCACAGTGTCAGAGGCAAATTCCTTTTTACTTCAGAGGTCATGAGTCCTTTCCATTTCATCCATTCTTTTTACTCAGTAAGCATGTATTGAGAACCTTCTCTGTTGCCAACCTATGGTATCTGCAAATTGAGGATGTTCTACTTCATTATGAAGCAGGTGAGAATGGCAAGTGTTGTGTAAGCACTGTGTGTCCTTACCACCACTACAAGACATTATTACAATAATTTTTGGAAAGACATTAAGTAGCTAATTCCATAAAGCTGAAACTTAATAAAATGAACCATTTGAATTATTTTCACACTTTGTTGCATTACAAGTAAATAGGTTGTTCTTTTATACAGCTAAATTCCTGTGTATTCCTGCATGTGTATAAGTGCACCCATGTTGTACAGTGCCTGCAAAGTCAGAAGAGGTAGTTGAAGCCCCTGGTTTTAAATTTGATCTGTCCTCTGAAGCAGTGTAAGCCCCCCAGTAGCTAGCCCATAGCATTAGCTAATACCATTAGAGAAAACTTATGGAAGGTAGAAGCATGGTGTTCTTCCGTTACAGAACTACAGATCCGTCTGTTATAGAGTGATAGCTAGTAATATCAAGCATACGGCTGTCATATAAAAAGTAGTAATACTATATAAGTGCTGCCATGTAGATCTGGGAGAAGGACGTGATAATAAAAGTCAAGATAACTTAAATACGTTCTTTTTCACTTCTATGGAAAGAGACTCAGCTTCTATTAATGATTTTTTTTAATTTTTTTCTTTTTTTTCTTTTTTCTTTGTCTTTTTGAAACAGGGTATCCCTGTAGCCCCAGCTCACCTGGAACTCATTGTGTAGACCAGGCTGGCCTTGAACTCACAGAGATCCACCTGCCTCTGCCTCCCAAGTGCTGGGACTACAGGCGTGCACTACCACGTGGGTGTTGGGATTCAGACCCGGGTCTTCTGCAAGAATAGTCGGTGTTCTTAACCACTGAGCCATCTCTCCAGCCCCTCTATTAATGATTTGAGAAGTAAAAATACAGACTTTGGTATTATCATGGAGTTACACTACCTCCTACAACTCAAATAATTTGTGAACATAAGTAGTCTTCAGGATATTAGCCCTAAGATACATTGTAAAACAGTCATCTAGGAAGTAATTGTTCATGTAATAAATAATTTATTTGGTACCTTCTCTTTGCCCAACACATTTATAACACAGATTCTGGGAAACCATGGAAGCCAAGGAAGAAAGAATACAAGATAAATGTGTATAAAGCATATACTTACTTATGTGAATTTTTATAAATATATGTTAGTTCAGCATTTTTATTTTATGTGTGTGAGCATATTCCTGCATGTGTATAAGTGAACCCATGTTGTACAGTGCCTGCAGAGTCAGAAGAGGTAGTCGAATCCCCTGGAACTGGAGTTACGCAGCACAGTTGTTATCCTCCATGTGGGTGCTGGGGTTCAAACCCAGGTCCTCTGTAAGAACAACCAGTGCTCTTAACCACCTCTTCAGCCCCTGTATATGTTACTTTTGGGATATGAAGTATTCCCTGCAAAGGTTTGTGTGCTGGACTCGGTCTTCAATAGGTGGATCAAATCATTGAAAGGTGATTGGATCATGAGGGTTCTGACTTAATCAATGAATTAATCCCTTGTGGAGTCAAAGTATGATGATATTATTGGGAGGAAGTAGGTTGGCTTCAACACAGAAAGGAATTTCAGGATGAGCCAACATGATGCAGAGCTGGTGCTTATTAAAAGATATTTTAATATAGATTTTAAGCACAATGATTAAGATTAAAGGAGTCACTCAGAAAGAAAGATACACCCCAGAGTATGCATGGAGGCTTCTCAATGAAGAGTCACAGTTTATTAAATGACATTTGTAATAAAGATTTAAGCACAATGGTTATGAGAATGTAAATGAGTCAGGAAAAGAATAAGACATACCAAAGTGTGAATATGGGCTTTTCAAGGGAGAGTTGTTATTAAGTGACTTAGTAGTAGCCATAAATACCATTTTGTCAGCTCTCAGGTTATATCTCAAAGGGCTGCTAAGAAATTTTCTTCCTTTTCTCTCTCTTTTTGATAAGTGAGATTAGAGAGGATGGCTCTGGGGGTACCATGGAAGGGATTATCATCTGATAAGGTAAAACCAGAAATCACCAGGGTTGTACAAGCGGTTTCTGGTGAGATTCTTGGAAAATTAGAGGTGTATAGTTGGGAAAGGGGAGAGTTATTGAGCAAACATGAATTTTGTTAGAATTCTGATTCTCAGGTACTGAGAGGCTTCAAGCAGGCTCTAGGGCGAGGGGATCCTTTACCTCCCTACCCTCATAATTTTCCCTTTCTTTAAATCCTTAAGCTATTTAAGTCAGATATTTTGTCACAGCTAAGAAAAGCAAACTTCTTTATTCGACTAGAAGCTCCGGTAAGGAATGTCTGTTTTGGCAACCCTCAGGAACTAGCCCAGCATTGGCACCATAATGTGCCCTATTTGAGTGGATGGATGGTTGGATGGATGGATGGATGGATGGATGAATGGATGAATGGATGAATGAAATATTTATTTTACATAAGGCGTGTTTTATAAGAATCTCATGACTATCTTTTATATAACTAATCTAGTAAATAGCCTTCTTATGAAATATTTATTTTACATAAGGCGTGTTTTTAAGAATCTCATGACTATCTTTTATATAACTAATCTAGTAAATAGCCTTCTTCAAGACTAGACGAGGTGTTTTTACATCAGTAGAATACGAGAATTAGTGCCATCATCTAAGTTAAATCTTTTTCCATTTCATCTATTATTTTTCTTATTTTGTCTCACAGGACCAATGTCAAAGGTGCTCCCCTGAATATAAATAAGGTCTCCAATAGCCTGATTAACTTTGGAAGAAAGTTAATTTCTCCAGCAATGGCTCCAGGCAGTATGGGGGGCCCTGCACCTGGGAATACCAGCAGCAGCTCTTCCTCTGCTACCGTTCCCACCAGGACCTCTGCTGAAGCCCCCAGGCATCAACTGCAGCAGCAGCAAAGGCTAATGAAATCTGAAAGTATGCCCGTGCAATTGAACAAAGGTAAGTGAAAATTTCATAAATCCAAAGAACAGACAGTGTACATCCTGGGTTTCCTCACCTACCTGTGAGGAACTAACATCCCAGAAACAGAAATCTATGAAAACTTAAGGTTCTGACATGTGTTGTATGTGATCCTTCTTAAGTTAGAGATCAGAAACTGTGCATTCTTAATTAAGACTATTTCTTGATGTATTTCATAATGTATTTTTAGTATTTATATCATAGTATGGTTTACATTTTTGTCCCATAGATGCCCATTTTCTATGATGGCATGACCTGTCTTGCGTAGAATTCAACATCATTTGACTGTGTTTTCTGCTAGCTCTGTGTCAAATGCTAAGTCCTGATTTCTTTGAGAAGCATCTGATGGCAGGCAGCCTGGCACCATGGGCTGTGCTAGTTACAGCTTCAGCAGTACATTGATGACTTCCAGGAAGCTTTGTGGGCTCTCATCCACACTTTTCATTTCTAAGGAATACAAACTGACTCTTAGAGAAAAAAATAACTAAACAAAATCTTCAACAGCCACGATCAGCATCTGAGTCCATATACTGAATGTTAACAGCCGTAGAATAGATGTGCAAGCAGAGGAAACCTAAGTCGTGCTGGAGCCTACGTGTCTCAGTCAGTGAAGAAAGCACTGGCTCTGGTAGTGCTGCTCCCAGCACTGCTCTCACTGCCCTCACTCGGTAAGCCTGCTTCTGTTTCAGGGTCTTCCAGGTGCATTCCGTCCTCATGCACTGTAACCACAGAGAGACCTCTGCATTCTCACAAAGCTCCTTCATACTCTTATTTTCTGTGTTAGGCCCCTCTTTTCATAGCAGATTAGAAACAGCTACATTTATTTTTACTGGTGAGAGTTTGTTAACTATATTATAGAAATAAGAAGGAGCAACACGACAGCAGAAAATGCATGGAAAGCATAGCAGTTTGGGGCTTTCAGTCAGAGCAAATATCCTGACTAAAGCCCCACTCATGTCTGAAAGGAATCCCTGTGTGAACAGAAGCATTTTGCACTTAGTGGTAACAGTAACAGTGAAAAACCCCTTACACTATGTTCTGTTTACTCTGCTTAAGGGCACCATCTCCAAAATTATTAAAGATTTTACATATTACCATTTAAATTGGACTTAAGGTGATGCCAGTTAATGAGTATCATGGTCATACTCATTAACTGGCACATGTGTGTGCATCTGCATTCCTCCATTGCTTCTATCATGCTATTCTATGTTTCTTTGCCTATATGAAATATTAAGTTTTATATAATGTGTATTTAAGGTTTATTAAAATATTCAGTTTACCTTCCATGAGAATATCTCATTTTAAATTACATTCTTTTCTTTTTAATGTAGAGCTGTCACTCATGATTTAAAGAAAAGGAGACTTCAGATCATTAACATGCTGAAAATGTATTTTAATGCCAGGAGACATGCCCACTTCCAGAATGGAAATGAATGTTATTTTATATATGTCTTAATTGTACTGTTTTATTGTTCTAAACAAATATGATTTCGATATTGCTTTGATAACAAGCTTTAGTCGGTTGTAATTCTAACTGATGGCAGGCAGATGAGTCAGAGAGTCTCTTAGGCTGTAGCTTACATTTTTTGAGAAACCAAGCCAAATGACTGTGGGATACAAAGCTGTGTCTCTAAGGAAGTGCTAAGTATTAATATCACAGTGCATGAAAAAGAATGCATTGATGAGGAGTGATTCCCAGTTCCAAGGAGACACAGGGCACTTAAGCAGCATATTGAAGCAGGCGCATCACTGGGACATTTTGTAACCAATCCTGTCCTAAAAGAAGTGGGCCTTATTCTACAACTCTTCTGAACTTTTATTTCTGGCTCATTCCTCTTGTGTCACTATTCCCCCCCTAAAAAAGCTTGTCTACTTTCATTTTCACAATAAATATTCCTGATCCTGTTCCTCCTTCCATGGTAAGGGGCTGAAAGAACAGTTTATAGAGGTAGAAGAGAGTACTTTGGGATCTTCCTCCGTCCACTCGCTGATGAACCCTAAGCACCACCCCAAGCTCCCTGTTTTCTCACTGTAAAACAAGAGATCTAAACTGATGCCTAAGGAGTCAGCCATCTCTGAAAACCTATCATTCTTTTGATGACAAATGTAGTTAGTAACTCTGCATTAAGAGCCCTTCAACATTGGCCCTTGACCCTAGCTAGCATTTACTCTGGTTCCACCTCCCTGACACACCGCAAGCCTGGAATGAGAAACACAGCAGCCAGTCAGGAGACTCGTGTTGGAAATGCTTTCTAACCATCCTGAACAGAGTTATCCATTCAGGACCTTTGAGGAAAGATAATGTAATGGCCTTTTTAGTGTACTGTGCTAGAAATTTTGAAGGTTGTTTTGAAAAATGGCTGATAATGAAGAGGAAAAGTTTATGGCTTTTTTAAAAATTTTTGTTATTTTATTTTATGTGTATGCGTGTATTGCCTGCATGTAGGTAAGTGCACCCGTGTCGTGCAGTGCCCGCGGAGGTCAGAAGAGGCCGTCGGATCCCCTGGGACTGGAGTTTCGGACAGTCATTAGCTGCCATGTGGGTGCTGGGATTCGAACCCGCGTCTCTACAAGAATAACCAGTGTTCTTAACCACTGAGCCACCTCTCCAGCCCCAAGTTTATAGCTTTCTTAAGTTACAGTTATTTGTGCTTGTAATAGGGAAGTTGTTTGTCACCCAAACTCATGCATGTGTTACTTTAAGTGAATGGTGCAGGTTGTGTATTTACTGGGGTAGATGCTGAAGAGGAAGGGGCAGCACAGCTGCTCCCTCATCTTCTCTGTGATACTCATGTTAAGATGAGTCTTCAGTGTCTAACACAGACACTGAGATCTTTGAGAATCCATAGAGTAAAATGGGTAGCAGGTATAAACTTAAATCTCCTCCTTCAAGGACACAGAACGTAGATTCACCATTTACCAGTCAATTTTAGCTAAATGTATTAGGAAAATTCAGATGACAGGAAAATGTGCATGTGTGTTCTTTTGAGGTAATTACACCATGTGACCATGCTATGAATCATAACTGGAAGAGGCTAGAACACTGAGGGCATGTTATTTCATTTAAAATTGACTTTTTTTTTTTTACTACAATGTACTATATAAAGGCTGAGGAAGAAGCAACTCTATTAACCATAGACTATGCATGGAAAACGTCATGCCTTTTTTAAAGGCTTCTTTTCTTTTGCTTGCTAACCTCAAAATAGCATAGGCCTTTAAATGCTGATGCATCCAGAGGATGACTCTGTTCACTGTCTATGCTCAGTATTGAATTTTGTCATCCAGAAATGAACTCAAAGAGCCGCAAGTCTTCTAACTATTATAACGTGTTGCACGTTCTTTACAGAATTTCCTTTTGTGCGCCTTTTATTTCCTTTCTGAGTGTGAAAATGTACCTTTTCTTCTCCCTAGTCCTTTTGTCTATATTTTAACTGTTTCTTTTTTATTTAAACACTGCTTTATGATAAGTATTTACTACAGGTCCAATTTGTAATGAAATATTGTCTATAAAAGCAAATTAAGGACATGCAGTTCACAGATGTGTTTTTGTATGTTGGCATGTGTAGGTAAAAATGATAACTTGGGAAATTTTTCATTAGCTAACATGAAATTAGAGCTTGCATAAGTCTTATGAATTAGCTTTGGAGTTTAGATAAAAATAATTTTCTGCTAGAGGAAGAAATCAGTTGCAAAAGAATGACTATTAATAAATGATGTATAATTTTTTCTTTTGGATAAAGTATTTTTTTAAAAAATAGATAGGAAATATGAAATCGCATTAGTATTTGTGTTACCATAAAATCTGCTCAGAGAAAAATCTTTTGACTGTTGAAGCTTTGTATATACTAGTGTGGTAGAAACTTGTCTGCTTTTCCTTGAGGAAAAACAGACACAAAATCTCCGTAGGAAACAATATTTTAAAGAAATTATTTCCTTCAAAATATTGAATATGTTTTTCAAACCTTGTGCTGTATTTTTTGTTCTATATTTTTATTTTTTATTTTGTAACTTTTAAAACACAACAACATTGAGTATGAAAGACAAAAAATGCCTATTATTATGATATCTAATTATCTTTTCTTATGATATCCAGGCGATATAGTTACAGGAAGCGAAGCTCAGGTTTCTGTTCCTGTCCAGGCTCTAACTGACCTCCAAGGTACAGTTACTATAGCTTACTCATTCCCATTAGTCTTTATCCTTTCTCTCTCGATTGCTCTCACTCTCGTTCTCGCTCTCTCTACCTTTGCTCTCTCTCACTTTCTCACTCTCTGCCTCTCTCTTCCTCCTTTCCTCTCCCTCCCTCTCTCCCTCCCTCCACTCTCTGTGGTATCTCCCTAACCTTTTCCCAGTTTTTCCTGGTGCCCAACTTCCTTTCAGTGTATCCATGCACTACCATAGTTTGGCCACCGAGTGGCACTGTTGTGTAGAACAAAAGTTTCCTCTCGTCTTATCCACACTGATGACACAGCATCAGGCTCTGATGTAAATTTTCTTGTGACTGTGCACAAGCCTCTTTGCAAAATATGATTTGCCCTGTGTGTGTGGTTATTCTACCGTTGTACTTGGTAGGGTAGCTGACACCAAGGAACAGCTTTTGTTTTTGCGTAGGTTCTTCATGACAGTATTTGACAAATAAGTTCCAAGATCAGTTTATATGCTGTGATTAGCCATATTTTGCCTTTAAAAAAATTTACAACCTATGTTTGAAATGTTTTTAAGTCTATTCTTCATAATAGGAATTTTGTTACTCAATTTAACCAGTATGACAGATCTCCACATAGGATGAGTAACTATGGTTTAAAATCAAAAGTGAATGTTTTCAATTAATCCTTGTGTTCAGTTTATTTAAGAAAAACAGCCAGACATGGTAGTACATGCCTATAATCCTACTTGGGCGGCAGAGCCAAGCAGATGTCTGTGAGATCAAAGCCAGCCTGGTCTACATAGCAGGCCAGCTGGGGCTACAGGGAGACCCTGTCTCAAAAAACAAAGAAAACAATGATAACCCATTTTCACTACCTTCTGTGGAATCCCAAAGCTTAAACATTGAAGATTGCTTCTTTAATCTTTCATTCTTCCATCTTTCATGTGAAGTATGCCATACAGAACATGCCTATGTTAAATGGATAGCTTGACTAGAGTCTCCTATTCAAATTCTGACCAAAATGGCAGCAGTACACTATTAATAAAAATTCATACCATGTTGTCCTTAATTTAAAATACCCACAATTTTAAACTAATGCTGGTCAAATGAAAATGCTGTCCAGCATTCCTTTCTCTTTTCTTAATGAGATTCTATAGTCAGCATTTTTATTCAAGCCTATTAAGTGCCTACTGCATGCCAAGCTCTATTTTCATTGGTCTCATGGTTTTCCCTATAACTTTACCAGCTTCTTGAACATCATTTTGCTTTAGATGACCCATCAAGCCAACTCAGGTGAGAATCAAGTCTTGCTGAGTGCCTGCTGAGTGTCCCCTTTGCCTCCCACACTCTGACAGAGAGTACATCAATATGGTAGGGAAAGTTCCAGCCCCTTGGTGAGACATGAGTTCCAAATCAACTTACTCAGTGATGGTGACTCTGAGGTGCATGAGACAAGGAGCTGCCCTGCCCTGATATGGAGAGGTCACTTCATGTTTTCCTTGGCGTACTTCCTGAGAGTGTGGAAAAGGAAGAGGAAGTAGAAGTAAACCAAAATAGTTACCATGACAGCTAAACATTTTCTGCCTGTGCTGAAGAGGAACAAAGTAATAAAGCGAATGTGAAAAAATGGAGGGGCTATCAGACTTTTGCTGATCTTTGAGTACAGTCATTTTTTTTTAATATTTTCTTTATTATTTTTATTTTATGTGTACGAGTGTACTGCCTGCATGTATGTGAGTGCACCCGTGTCGTGCAACACCGCCAAGGTCAGAAGAAGGCTTCAGATTCCCCTGGAAATGGAGTTAATGACAGTTCGTGGCAGCCATGTGGGTGCTGGGAACCGAACCCGGGTCCTCTGCAAGAGCAGCCAGCGCTCCCAACCGCTGAGCCATCTCTCCAGCCCTTGAGTACAGTCATTTTACATGAGGTTTTATATGTGTGTCTCATTGCTGAACACCACAACAGCTATGTTCTTTTTGAAGGAAAATGGTGAATATAAAGGGAGAGTTCATGATTTAGGCCAATAAGTAATTTTTAGAAAAGTATCGGAGAGCCGGGCGTGGTGGTGCACACCTTTAATCCCAGCACTTGGGAGGCAGAGGCAGGCGGATCTCTGAGTTCAAGGCCAGCCTGGTCTACATAGTGAGTTCCAGGACAGCTGGGGCTACAGAGAGACCCTGTCTCAAAAAGACCAAAAAAAAAAGAAGAAAGAAAGAAAAGTATCAGAGATTATCTTTATATTTTGCACTGCAGATTTCAGTCACAAAACAAGTGCTACTGCAAGCATTTGTTCTCTGAAGATTTAATTCTGTATATTTTTTTTAATTGGATTTTTCACCATCATAAGTATCTTTAAAGCTCATATTTCTGTCACGTGTATGAATACATGTTCACACCCAAAGAAATATGATTCCACTGCTTCTTAGGTTGTTTTTAAATTTAAAAAGGGAAGGTCTCCTTGGCCAGGTAACCACTCCTGAGAGTTTTAAAATAAAACCAAAATATATGTAACGTTCAACAGCCCCAATTAGTTACAAATACTAAAATGCACAAGTGGCGAGAGCCCTCTGCTTTGTCCTCCCACACTTCCTGCCAGCCCATCTCCCCATCACTAAGTTCCTTTTAGGGGAAAAAATACATTTTAAATTGAGGAGTAAGACAGGAGTGATACTAATCCGATAAGAGCTCTCTTGTCTGTGGATGACTTCCCCTGGAGACCATCAGGAAGAAGAAGATAGCACTAACAGAAATGCCCAGGTGCAGATGTCAAGCAGAAAGTTGGTAGGACAAGGAGAGGGAGGCCAGCCAACCACAGTAGGACACAGTAAAGACAAGAAAAGAGGCCGTTCCTACTCTCAGGAGCAGCAGAAGAGATAAGATTTGAAAACGAAGGAAAAAATTACCTTAGAACACTGTATCAGTCCCTCTGGATATTATTGAAAGTGTAAGAAGTGGTCTGGAGGCAGACAAATTGTTGTGTTCAGCATAATTATTTTAAGACAAACAAATGTGTTATATGTAAAGTAAGTTTGAGAAAGCATAAATTGGCTAGAAAATGTGATTTTGTAAAATACTTGTTCCAAAAGACATTGAATACGTGAGGATTTTTTTTCTGAGAACAAAGTCAAAAATTGCCCTTTACTTTCAGAGGACCTCAATCCATTCCACATTTCCTACAGGCCACTTGGCACAAGTCATTACGAGGGAGGTAGGCTTGGTAAAACTTTGCTCAGCATAGGCTCTGGAGTCCAGCATGGGTCTATATCCTGGCTCTACCATTGCCTTGCTGGGTGAGCTGGGGTGGTTACCAAACCTCTTATTTGAAAAGAAAGAGTGAAGCAGCTTCTTGCATTTCTTATGGGAAGTTGTCCCAGCACCTACCCTCTAAATCAGTCTCTGAGCTGGTACCTGCTTACATAGCAATGATTATGATAATGGTAGCCTGTTATAAGTTAACCTCAAGTACATTTCTGGTTTCTAGAATCAAATTATGAAGAATTCCACCCAACACTTCTGTCTTTCCTTAATTGTTCTGATATTCTAAAAACACATTTTTTTTTCTTTCGAAGCTAGTACCCATTCCAACAGTGCTTCACTTCTGTGGTCAGGCTAGAGGAAGAATATTCCAGAGTCTTCTATTCACTCTCAAGGCATCAAGACGCATGCCTTTAATCTGTACAGGTCATTCTTCTTGCTCTCTGTGTCACTCAAGTGTGTTCTGGGATAGGAGCCAAGCGCCCCTGGCTTTCTCCTGGTCAATGTGTAAAGTCAAGCCAAGGCAAGTTGTTCTAGCCATAGCAAAGAGCTCATAAGCTTTTTCCTTTTACTCCTCTATCTGTACCTCTCTACCAAGGCCCCCTGCATGTCCTCACCTCTTTACCATTTTGCTTTGGGTGTGTACTGCTCCAACTTGCACATCTGGACTCAGATTTGCTGGTACTCAGCCTGTCTCTTTAGGAAACAGCTCCAGCTCCTATTCATCTCTAAGTTTTATGAGGGGAAAAAGAGTCACAAAAATGTTCTCCATAAGACATAGTAGGAGCTTAATAGATACTATTTCCTTACCCTCTGCCCTTCCCTCTCGGGCATTTGGTAGTCAAGTTTACTCGGTGATTCCTAGGAGACTCTTTGACAAGTAGCTTCCATTGACCTGGAGCCCAGGGGACACAAATCTTCACATCATGTCTTAAGGAGGGAAAGACAATGAAGAAAGGATGGATTATACCCAAGACAGAGCTGTCTAATTCATATAGTGCCTTTGTGTGGACTTGGAACAGAATGTTTCTCCTGTGCAGACACAGCACTTTTCAGTAGTAACTCCTTCATCTGCCAACCTGACAGAGCCCAGACTCTTTAACTGCTGATTTGGCTCGCCCTATTTGTTCAGTCTCATCTTCCATCTGGCTCCTTCTCCAGGGCTGAGTAACAAAGAGGGAGACAAAGTTCATGTTTAAGATGCCAACAGCTTTTGGAAAGAACTTGTTACTTGATTTTCCTCTTATCCTCTACTCCTGAAATTGAAATTATCAAGTGAAATAAAAGCACTAAATTCTGTTGAATTTAGTCTTATTTTACAATTTGGTATTTAGTGGTATTTTAGATTATGTACTGATGACAGTGCACTGAAGGTTAATCAGACTCTGAACTGGATGAATCAATACTCTTTGTAAATACTGTGCTCTCTACCAGAAGTTACCTTCCTCACCTGCATCTCCACACGCTCCACTGAATATTAAGAGTTTGCTCAGATCTGCAGTTATCTCAAACAAAATCAGACGCTCCATTTTTATGTTCCCAAAGTGCTGTTATTTATACTTTGTTTGCTTTTATCACCTGGACTTGTAGGATACTATGTGGAGAAGTCTGGACTTCCCTTTTTCCACTGTTCTGGGCTTCTTGAGTACTCCCATTGAGCTTTCTTGAGGTCAGTGTCCATAAGGCTCATATGAATGGAGGCTATATGCACATATTAATTCATGCACACATGCGGTGGTTTAAGAATAGATCTATGC